TTGTTAATCAGTTCGGTAAAGTGGTATGCTTAATTTGTGCCAGGTGAGGGGGTGGGGGGGGGGGGGGGGGGGGGGTGTACACATAGTCGTGCATGCCGTAGTCGTTAGACCGTTGACCTCGCATCCCTACAAAGCCGGGACGGAGCATGCCGGGTTCTCGCTGGACCAGGCTCTCACATCACCAAGCGCGAAGCGCCGTGAGGTATTTGGCGAGTCGCATTGCATCCTGCTAAGGGTGTTCTGCATCTTGTGCTTCCTTCCTTGCGTACGGATGACAGCTGCGAATGACTTAATTTCTTGTGCTTTCACTTCCAGAGACAGTCATAAACATTGTGTCGCCGCATCGGGGTTGCTTGACCATTTTGACACAACGTGGTGCGATCATCTCCTTTGCGGTGAGTGAGGGTCCTCGACCCCGCACAACATGTATCTACTCGACCACCATCATGGCTTCCGCAAAAAAAAAATAATGGTAACCTGGCTGCCGAGCTCACGAAGTGATCGGCTTGTTGTACAACGTCGTTGCCAAGGGATGAAAACCCAACCCCGACGGCAAACACCGGGGGGGAAGGCGTTCGGGTGGGGGTAGGGAGAATTGGAGAGCGAATAGCTGTGTGTCGGCAGGTCGCACGCTGACCGTGAGCAAGCGATTGGACGACGGGCATGCAGGGCCATGACGTACGACAGCCGTGGGCGAGTATCCAAAATTTCGACAACAACCGAGTGTCTTCCATCACCGAGTTGGTGCGGTTTCAAGATTCACCAACTACAATAGGTTGCACCTGTCGATCGGGATTGACGCTCTATTTAGCCCGGCGGCACCCAGAGCTACGAAACTGCTGGAGGGTGCCTAAACGTCCTCGGAAGGCCTGACTCACCGAGATGACGGCGAAAACAAGCAGGGGAGGGGAGGAATCACCCTCGTTCGCAGTGTCGTCGGCAGCCGTAACATGGGCCTCGCAGATCACCACCATGTTGGCTGTATTTGGCGAGGGCGCCGTCATCGAAACGTTTGACGCGTGGGGCGGGTGAAAGAGTGGGGGCGGGACAGGGGCGATGAGGACAATAATCAAGATAGAGGCGGAAAAGGGTAGCAATGCGATGGTGTGAGACTCGCCGAAAAATCACCACGGATACCAGAATGAACAGCCATAACATGCCGCGTTAATACAGAAGCCAGCAAATTGTCCCCTAGCCAGTCAAATTTATTTACATTTTTCATTTCTATGTGTGTTTGGTGCCTCTCGATCAACGCTCACAACGCGAAGGGAACCGGGAGGATGCCGTCCAGCCCGACTATTCCTCGCCTAGCTATCTGATATCGGGCATCGATCCCCTCACCCCCCCGTTAAAGCAAGACTGAGAGCAGGGTATGTCATTGTCTCACCGACGGCGAGTCGACCAGACTTCTCCCAGTGGTCTCTCTGCTTGGTCTGCGACATGTTCATCACCGCATCCGGCTTGTCGAACTCCAGAGACACGTTCACTCCTCCGTATGTTGTCCCTGCCGCGGCGAGATCAAGCGAAAGGGAAAGAAAGCAACTGCTGTGTCACGAAACGGACGAAAACCGAGAGGGTCAGCCTCAACATCGAAACACCCTTCGTACAGCAGTTGGTGCGCCTGATATCCCGTCGTTCAGAGCTCGATCAGGTTGGGCGTAAACGTTGCCAACCCGCCATCAAATTGAAGCGTTCAAACGAACAGAAACTGACATTCACACGCTTTGTCATCCCTCCACCGGTGCTTGTCGTATCCGACTTCGGGTCCACAATAGGGAAACCAGTGACAGCTCTAACTCGGCGTAAACCACATCCAGGATTTTGAGCCCCTAGCGAGTAAACGTCATTCTCTCGCGACGTCGTTACCTCACGGTTTCGCACGCGCCGGAAAGAGGAAAAGGGGCCTCTACCCAGCGCACCCGCCAACAGAGCACCCCGCAAGGGGGAATCGAAACAGGCGTGCACGGCAAAACAAACGGCCCTATCAATCGGATAAATATTGTATCCAACCCCTTTCTGCTTGTTGTTCGATGCAACTCAGACAGCTGCAAGGAATATCACGGATACAATGTACACGATTGCCTGCCGCATTCGCTCTCTGACACCTGAGATGCCGGCGACCCGAACGTTCTTGAAGACGAACAGGTTCAGGAAGGACCTCCCGCCCTCTGTCTGGGCCTTGAAAACGCCTCCACGCCCGCCGCCGACCCCGCCGCCGACTCTGTTCTGAAAAGATGTAAATCGTCACGACATTCGACCGTGAGGAATGGCCATCAATGCATCCCTGTGATATGCCCTTGAGAGGTTTTGACATAACCACCCCCCAAGACTCTAACGCAGTTTTCACCTTACCACGCCACCCCCAACTCTTGCGTCATTTTTTTCCAACTAATTTTCGCATCGCTCGGCCCCAGACTACGTATTCCCCAGATAAGGCATGCTGCTAGGTCGTGGTACTTCTCAAGGATAGGCAGGGGCGCCTCTACCACGATCTCAACAGTGCCACCGGCAACTCATTCTAGAGATCTTCGGTTCGGCAAGAAACCCACGTCTTGCGCCTTGAGCTGCTCCCTGCGGTAGCCCAGCACTGCCTCGCGCAAAGGCTCGACGAAGTCCTGCCGGAGGAGGCGGAAGTGCGTGTCCAACACCGGGGCTGGAGAGTCTGGCGCGAGAGGCTTTACACGAACGAATGGGTTGCGTGGAGGGGCGTACATGGGCAAGGTGGGCGTTGGTACAGGAAACGTTTACCCCACGGATTTCTAGGCTTTGACTTGAAAGTCGGCAGAGGTGACATGGCGCAGCAGTTCCTACTCCGAAACCAATAAGTTATCTAACGGACCTTTAGGTGATTCATCCCATCCCACGTGGAGGGCGCATTGCGGGGCACGTAGGGAGGCCTCTCACAAAGGATCTCCCCGGCGGTAGGCGCGACGGAGATCTCGGAGATCCTCTCCGCGTCGTTGTCGTGCCGCCTGCGAAAATACAGAAGGCGGCGTTGTTGTGCAACGGCACACCCCATGTTGGCATTAGCTTTATGAAAGTGCTGGGTGCGGTTTTTGTCCTGGAATAGGGCATTCGATTCCAATATGCTCATGTGAGTTCCCGTTGACGCAATGACCTGCTCGGAGGAATATCAGACCGTCAGGAAACGTTTGGTGCTTCGGGCAGAGCGCCGATAGTTGTTGCACCCAGCTCATTGGTCTACCTTACAAATATGTTTGATCCTTACTTGACTTGGAGCCTGCTGAAAACGCCAGGACCATCGTACGTCGCGCCCTCTGTCTGTCCCTGGCGTCGAAGAATACAAGAGCAGGTAAGGCGAAAGCGCACAACGTGGTGATGGCAGTTGTCACGCAAGCTTGCGCAATCCGAGGGAATTCAATGACACCTAGAAAACCAACAGGTTAACACACAGGGAACGAATAGAAGATTAGCTCACCATCACCCGAAGAGACTACTACCATACAAGAATATTGAGAACTGCTTGGCCCTTTGTCTGATTTCCGAGGATGATCACGAAAACCCGTGGGTTCTGAGGCACAATGTACGTGTCATCGGCTGCACCTGAGAATCGGACAGGTTGAACAGTTCCGAGCGAGCGTTGCGGCCTAGCTTTTCGTTCTCTCGCTCGGCCCTGGCTACCTCGGACGCCCGGAGGATCTGCAGCGTCGCACCCATCACCCTGAGGGGGGCAGGGGAGGAGAAAGGCGGCGGCAGAAATGGCACGAACGAACAACAACAGCAGAGGATGCGACGTGTTCAAAAGGTAGGGCTCAAGAAAGCAGGAAAAAGAAAAAAATACTGCTTCAGTACCAGTACAGTACGACGACGACGATGACGAAAACAGTGTAGCAACAGGGGCATATCGGCGGTAGGGCGTGGTATGCCCTTTCGTGAATGGACGGCAGCAGCCGCGGACAATCGCTCGCCTGAGAAACGTACCGTGGGCACGTGCAAAGTGACGAACAACCCCAAGGAACACAAAGTAGGGGCAAAGTAGCTGTGGCCGCCAGATGCTGCTTCTTTTTAGAATCATGGGCAACTGCGCTTATTCTGCCTGGAACGAAACACCAACTTGTCGCGAGGTCAGGCTTCGCCACGGGAATCCTGACCTGTCGAGGTTTGCCATCGCGTCGTCGACCTCTAGCAGCTGGGTCCGAGAAGGCGGTGGGTCTCCGCCACGTCCTCCCGCGGTCTTGACAATGGAGCAAGTGAAACAGCCGGCGGCGAAAGGCCGAGGGTCGAACGAGACCCGCAGGCGTTTTGTTGCGGTAGTGCATGAACGGGGTCGAGACGACGGTGGCGGTGCACAATAGGTTAGCGCCGACGTGTGCGCAGGGCAGGGGCACCGCAGCGACGTCATTATCATCTTCAGCACGCGGGCCGCGCTTCATATCTGCTCTGTCGGAGGTTCGGTTGGGACGGGTTTGCCACTCCTAGCAACGATGGTTCAGTATTGCCGATCTGATATTATCAGATGCACTGGTTCTGAGCCACAAACGAAACAATTACTAATTCAGCGGCTGTGCTGCAGCCAGTTGTACCACGAAGAACATGTTGATGTCCATGACAAATTACCATCTCCCGCCACCCTGATCTCACGCGTGGAGAATGAGAAACGGAGTCGCCAACGTGTTGGACACAACGCCGGCTGCTGTGTGGGATATTTTCCTTCTTCGAGAGGGCGCGACATGCCATGACAAGTCCCTGACAGCTTCCGCACATCCAACCCGAAAATCGCTGGCATACGCAATTCACCTTCCACGCTGCTATCAGTTTGGGCAGAGTTTCCGTCGCTGCCTTCTGAAACGCAGTGTCGAGCAGAACAGCGTCGCGGAACCGCTTCGTCACCTCAACCATGAACCTGAGGATTTCAACGCACACGCCGTACATATGTTCGTGCCACAACGACGAAACCTCACTCCCCAGTGAACATATCCCGGAATGAATTTTGAGGATAAGCAAAAGCAGGTCGCGTCCCCGGGTTAGTGTCATTACTGTGTGGTGACTTGGAAATTCACGTGAACTATATGGTCATAACGTGCTCAGCCATCCCAAGATTTTCTCCCTAAGATTCGCTCGGCGACTTCCCTCCATCCTCAGGATACACAGTATGATTGCTGGGATGTGTCAGAGCATGCATGTCAGTCGACGTCGAGAAGTCCTTTACCACGTGTGCTACGAGTGAGGCATACCTTGCGATGGGCAGAACCACATCCACCCACGTCACCGGCTCCCACACGCCGCTGATCTGCTTATCGCGGTCGCGATGGAAGGCCGTGTAGCTCAAGTCTCGGACGGAACCGCGTGTTGTGAGCTTGAAAATATTTTCCATGAGAATCAGGAGCAACGCCACCACCGGTAGTAGTAGGAGTGAATCGGACAAACGTGAAGGGCGACAGATGGTGCGAGGGAGGAGCTACTCTTAGCGACTGCGTAGAAGTAACTCCCTGCGGTTAACCAGCAGAGCACGTTACCCGCTAGAAACTCCTTACATTTCTATGGGACTGCCGGACGAAGACCCTCCCCCCCCGCCTTTCAGTCAATCGAAATTCTGGTACGGCCCGTATTCAACTTCCACACATTGCTTTTGACACGCGATTCCATTGTAACTCTAGAATAGGTTCGTTTCATTTCGCACCTTCGAAAGCTCATCGAACACCCTAGGCCACAGCCCGTCCGCCTGGTCCAGCTTGTATAGCGTAGAGAACAGAACATTCGTCTTCGGAGGGCACGTAAAGATGTACGTACGTCCCCACCAGGAGGAAGAGTGTAGGACCGGGGGAAGCGCGAGTTAGACAATAGTCTTCCCTCCAATATATTGCGGGAGCGGTGGTGATGGGAAAGAAATGTCCCCTTTTCATTATGAAGTCAAACCATTGCCCGGAAGTATCGAGTAACCCCAAGTATGTTCACTATCGTAGTGCAAACGGCGTCGACAAATCACAGCCAGAATGAAACTGGATACAATCGGATGGATGCACACATACCTCGCTACGCAGGGGGCTGTTTTTGAACTCCGTCGATGTCGCCAGATCGATCAGCGGTAAAAAGACGCGCTGGTTCCACCGGGAAGAATGCAGGGACACGTTGAAAACGATGTGCGTTAAAGTGTCGCCTTCGCGGGCATTGAAAATATCTGTAGCTACAGATGGATCTGACAGGGTGGTGCTTCCAACGTGGTTGTTAGCGTTCTGTAGGTCTTCAATATTCTACAGTAGCACCAATACGGTCACACAGAAACAAAGTTCACTTTATTCAATCATAGAAGTTTATGAACATGATATGTAACATGCATCCGTGCTCCCTACACACGCAGATGGTCTTATTAGTGTATTGCCGCCATTCCACCACACTTTCGCCAACAGTTGTTGTTGTTGTTGTTGTTGTTGTTGTTGTCTTCACATTAAAAACCGTTCCGATCTCTCTCTACCCAGTACCTTCGTATGTCCGTACTGATCCAACACTCGACGCGGTCGATTCCCGTGGTCACAGGTTAACTTACCCTAAAAAGGTACACTCAAATAAACTGGCCCGAGGGGTCCGCAAGTCAATAGAAATCAACGACAGATATTCTGGAATCCTCCACTCCCTCTTCGCGCTATGCGAGGTATCAACTGAGACTAGCAGTCACTATCTATCATGGGCCGGAGAGAAAGAGGTACACCCCCTTTGTTCAATCTTGGTACTTCACAACGCGAGCAGAGACAAGGCCATCTGGCACAGAAAAAGAGAGAAAAAAGAGAGAAAAAAGAGAAAAAAATAACAGTGAAAAAGTTTGGTATTTCTCTCCTAAATTACACACCAGGAGGAATAAACCCCTGTGATGCCCAATACCTGGAATGATACACGGCTAGGAATAGGACCAGCGTCCACGTCCAGGGTCGTCGAGCTCGCCCGGCAGATGTCCATCACCCTGCTGACACCAAACTGTGAAGTGTCTCCAAGCCACGAGATTGCCTGCCCGCGGCGATGGTGCATGAAACAACACACAAAAAAGATCGGCGTCCTTCTCACCAGACCAGGCTTCTTCGTTTCGAAATTGGTTGGTTGAAGTTTATGGATATCTTATGGTCCTTCTGTCCAAACAAGAGAATAATGTCCAGCTGTTTGTTTCCGGGGCCAGCTGTTCTTCTTGCTGCCAAAAAAAAACCGTTGACATTTATACCGTTTTCATTACGCTCTTCTCATGAAACAACATGTAGTGTGACCCGCCCGCTTTCTCATTTGGTGCAAAAATATCCTAGCGGGGTTTGCGACGTCACCACAAGGTAGGCCGGGGGCATGCAACACGCCAATCTGAGGTGGACCGCGGCAAATTGCCTCTATCTTTTCTACCAATCGATACACATGTACCGAGGAAGAGGCGAGAACTCTATGTCCGAACTGGCTCTCTTGATTAAGTAAACTGCAGCAGTGTTGGAAAAGAGCCGGTATTCCTTCTCATCAAGCTCCCCTCCATACTCCCCGGACTCCATTTTCACGAAGTGAATGATGCAAAGCTGGATTTATTTACGTTGCTGCGCCAGCCTCAGCTTTGGGTTACTCTTCTGTGAGCACAGGGGGGGCGGGGGTTGATAACGGTGGCAATCAAACGTGCGTAACCGACGTGCGGCGTGTCTGGTGGGCGCGCTGGCTCGATTGCTCAATTCATAAAAAGAACAAAAGAATTGGTGTATGGAGCGGGCGAGTGGGCGTCGTGCAGACCTATGCAATATGTAGGGATCAGGCCTAGGCAGTCTGTACGTGTGCACGTTACCTCAGAAAGCTTTCCGGCGGTGGAGTGCAAGCGCGCCGACATCACGAACGCGCGCATGTCGTGCTGATTGCGCGGTTCCCTATCACGGCTCACAAAGACGTGAAGATTGAGATTGTTGGTGTGTCGCCACCCGCCGCCCCTCCCCCCCATGTCGCGTCCACTGCGCCCTCTTCCCTCACGTCCTCCGCGCCGACCATCATCTCCACGCCCTGATGAGCGCCAATCTTGGGCGCTCCTGTCCGTGCGCGGAGAATACAGCGGGAGAGAGAAAGTCTAGCAATGGTTTGAACAGGCCCCAAGCTGTGGGCATGTCGGGATTGGATCGCGTCTGTTTTGGCTCGCGTCTCATGCCCAGCGCAACAGGCATTAGCGCTACACAGCAGCAAGCAGCAGAATTAGTTTTTGCAGTGGATTGGGTTGACAGCTTGCCTGTTTTCTCTCCCTGATGATCTTCCCGGCATGCTGAATTCAACATTCGAGGCTGTTGCAAGGGATGCTGTGTGAGGGATGTTGTTTGGCGTGCGGTGCTCGAAAGATATGCTTCCTGTCGCGGAAACCTCTGGTTTGCCCGCAGGCAGGGCGGGGACCGGGGGTGGGGAAAATAGTTTTTTTTTTGTCTGAGATGGACAACAGGAGCTGGGAAGCGAACATAATGCATTAGCAAAGGGTAAACACGAGTTGCACTAATAAGACTGCTGCTGTATCAGCGAATCAGTGGTCGAAGGTCAACTTTAGTCCCCCGCGAAGCCCAACGTGGTCTCGACTGAAAAAAAACGGGGGGCTAAAACAATATGAAACGCTTCAGGTTGCCTGCTGTAACGGGGAACGCCAAGCTCGAGGGCGTATCACAGCTCCACCCCTTTCTCTCTCTCTCCACTTCCCAACTGACAGCGTCTTTGTTTTGTCGAAGATCCCGGAAGACTACACTCATTACAAGAGAAACACGCAGAGCAGACCAACTGGTGGAGACAACGTCCATATCATTTTCATTCATATTCCTTTCCGCGAACCCCCCACTCGCCTATTCCGCCGCGTTTTCATGGTCCGCCCAGGAGCGTCACCATCAGAGGATCAGAGATCAGAGGCATCTATCTCTCTGTTCAAGTGCACAACACACAGAACACCAGCAGGCGAAAAGAGAAACCTCGCGTGTGTGCGGCCGTAGCTAGCCATGCAACTTCGAGCAGGGATGGCCCTCCTCTCCCCGGGAGGGAGGCTGGCGCTCCGCCGGCCTGCCGTGGCGCCGGCGGCGGCGGCGGCCGCGAGGAGCAGCCGAGCCTTGCTGGGCACCAAGGCCAAGCAAACGGCCGGCGATGGCAGCGGGTTTGAGATGCCTTTCAAATCCGTTTTGGCGGCGAACAGAGGGGAGATCGCCGTGAGGATCATGCGGGCGGGCAACGAGCTCGGGCTCAGGACGGTGGGAATCTTCAGCAAGGAGGACCGGTTCACGCAGCACAGGTGTGGGGCGCGTTCTTGTGTGTGTGGTGCTTGTTTTCGCAACTCAAGTTCAACTCCGTCTACAGCGAACATGTTTTTGGCCCTGCGTGCATGTGCTCCAGTGGAGCATGCTGCAGGCGCCCGCCCTGTGAGCTCTGCTCTGTGGCACGCTCCAGCGTCGGGCGTGCGTCCTGTCTCTTTCCCCTGCTCAACCACACGACAATGCATGTGCCGGATGGTTTGGCGCGGCAGCATCTATATAAACAGACTGAGAGGGGTGATGAAATATGCGCGTGAAGCGGCTCTCATGCGCACAGCAGCAGCAGCAGCTGCACGCTCTTCCAGCGCCTGTGCGTAACTCAGAGACGGGTTCGGACCTCGGGGCGACAGCAGACTCAGGAAGGCGGTCGTGTCTGTCTCCAGTTGGCGTAGTTGCAGTGAATCCGACGCTTGGTGCTTGGGATATAGCTATGCGGCAGCTGCTGCTGCTGCTGCTGCGATCCGCTTCCCATCATCATCAATCGACAATCGACGTCCGTAGCATGCTTGCCCCCCCCCCCCCCCTCCGCCTACCATGCGAGATCCTGCTGCTGTGTTGTGGGATCTGGCTTTGACTGGAGAGGCTTACCCCCATTCCGCTCTGGCCATTGCGGCAACCGATCACCTCTCTTCCTCTCCCTCTCTCTCTCTCTTTTCATGCCTCCGACTGCTGCTGGCAGCAAACCGTGATCCACGTTGCCTTGGAAATAACAAGAGCGACCACGTAGTGTTCTACAACATACCACAAGTTACAACCATACAAGTAGTCTACCTCTCTTACGACAATCGTGGGGTGTGTTTGAGCAATACTCAGGACATCCCTTGTGCAAGTTGTGTGGTACTCGAGAGGCGGCGATCGAAAACTTCGCAGTCCACCAATCGTTTTTGGTGGGTGGGTTGACTTGGTTATCATGCGGTGCAACACCTGCCTCCTCTGGCGCGTGAAGCCCGCCCTAAAACGTGTACACGTGATCACCACACGAGCCTTGCATGCTGGCTCGGTTTCTTGTCCCTCAGAGCTTTTTCCAACTCATTAAGTCGTATATATGCTTCGCCCAGTGTCTGTGTGACCACGGATGGATCGGATTGGAGCGCTCCTATCCGCCAGAAATGCTGTGAGCGCTGATGTCAAAAAATGATGAACGAAAAAAAAAAATGAAAGTGTCGGGGGCCTGTTTTCGATGCTGATAGTGCGCATCCGAAGGGGGCAGGCACCCCGTGCCGAGGACCTTACAGCAGTAGTATACACACACCAGTCGTGTTTTCTTCTTGTTCTGCAGATTGCGGCAAATCCATCCCCATCCACAGGTAGGTGTCCGGTAAAAATGTGCTTCTGTCGTGTGTATGTTTGACTACAAGCATGTACCCCTGTACCTGTACTCCCTTGCACAACCCAGATGCCGAATCGAGGTTCGGCACACCGCAGATGCGGCGGAACCGCTGTCAGGAGTTGGTGGTGGTCACGAAAAAGGGGCTTTTGGCGATCGACCATGTTGCACCACAGAGAAGCCTTAAGCTCAAATCAGCGCAGACGCACCATTCACACGAACGCTAAATGCTGTACAGCAGTGGCATCAGCAAGCAGGGAAACCCTTGTTTTTTCACCCGTGCTTTTGTCTTGCTCTACCACTGCTGCTCTCCCGTCGTTCGCGTTGCTACATAAATCCAACATTTTTGTGAAAGCCACTTCCACAGCGACTCATAGGTACATTTGCTTGTACGAAAAAAATGAATCTATCTCTCGAGAAATCATTACAATGCAGCTAGTTTCCCAGCAGCGGGCAGTGGGCGAAACATCGGTTTTTGCCATGCGGCTTCTGTTTAGTGCGCCAATCGTGTTCGGCCCAGGTGACGCCAACATAACGTCAACTCATCGGCGGGTGGAAAATTTGTGCGTTCCCAATGTTAATCTTGTCTTCGATCGTCTCCCGGTTAACAAAGCCCCCGCTAAGACATCCTCGATGACCGAACAAACCCCACCCCACATGTGTTCAATGAGCGCTTGCTCTTTTGACGATGTAGCACCAGCTGGAGAAACAAACCCAGTGTCAAGCCGTTTTTTTCTGCCACCCGTTGCAAACGCTGCAGCGTTGGACCTGTGGCATTAGTCCTTCAGCTGTGATTGTAAAAAGCTACCAAGATATTTGAAAAACCGCGAACTGACCTGTGTAGCTCACACGCCCCTCCGGCAGGTACAAGGCTGATCAGGCTTTCCTCGTGGGGCAAGACAAGAGCCCTGTCGGCGCTTACCTCGATGTCGAAGTGAGTTCTCCCTTGGGGGGGGGGAAGGGGGGTACTCATATGAACGCATGCCGTAGTCTAGAGGGGATACACGCATGCCGCTGTCGTCATTAGACCATTGACCTCGCGTCGCTATCGGGACGGATCGATTCGCCGGTCCAGGCTACAGTTTTACGAGGATGAACCAGAAGCTGATCATCATACTTTGGTTTTTTGTGTGCCAGGCCAGATATGCCATGGAGTGATTGGGCATCCGTGGTTACCAAACGAGGGGGGGGGGGGGGGGGGGGGGACCCCTGGGCGGGGCTGCCCGGAGTCCTTAAAACCTTGACCCCCCTTCCCCAGTTTGACCCCAGAGGCGAAAGCCCTCTGAACCCCCCCTTATTAAAAAGGGGAGGGAAGGGTGGCGGAATTTTTCTGGCATGGGGGCCCCCCGGAACCCGGAAAAACAAAACGAGGGGACCCCCGGGGGGGCCAAACCCCCCGAGGGCACAAAACCGACTATTTTCACCCCCGTTTTAATCCCCACAATTTTTCCCCCCCGCCTTCCCGGGGGGCCCCTTTTCCCGGAACTATTCTCCGGTTTTCCCCTTTTCCCCTGGGGCATTTTGGGGATCCTACCCCCCCACCCCCCAAAGGGAACGGTCGTTCCCCCCTCCACCAAACCCTTGG